GGAGGAACAGCGACCCACCATTGGTGTCGGGGGGGGGGAGGAACAGCGACCCACCATTGGTGTCGGGGGGGGGAGGAACAGCGACCCACCATTGGTGTCGGGGGGGGGGAGGAACAGCGACCCACCATTGGTGTCGGGGGGGGGGGGAACAGCGACCCCACATTGGTGTCGGGGGGGGAGGGAGGAACAGCGACCCACCATTGGTGTCGGGGGGGGGAGGAACAGCGACCCACCATTGGTGTCGGGGGGGGAGGAACAGCGACCCACCATTGGTGTCGGGGGGGGGGAGGAACAGCGACCCACCATTGGTGTCGGGGGGGGAGGAACAGCGACCCACCATTGGTGTCGGTCGGGGGGGGAGGAACAGCGACCCACCATTGGTGTCGGGGGGGGGAGGGAGGAACAGCGACCCACCATTGGTGTCGGGGGGGGGGAGGAACAGCGACCCACCATTGGTGTCGGGGGGGGAGGAACAGCGACCCACCATTGGTGTCGGGGGGGGAGGAACAGCGACCCACCATTGGTGTCGGGGGGGGGAGGAACAGCGACCCACCATTGGTGTCGGGGGGGGGAGGGGGGAACAGCGACCCACCATTGGTGTCGGGGGGGGAGGAACAGCGACCCACCATTGGTGTCGGGGGGGGGGAGGAACAGCGACCCACCATTGGTGTCGGGGGGGGAGGAACAGCGACCCACCATGGTGTCGGGGGGGGGAGGAACAGCGACCCACCATTGGTGTCGGGGGGGGAGGAACAGCGACCCACCATTGGTGTCGGGGGGGGAGGAACAGCGACCCACCATTGGTGTCGGGGGGGGAGGAACAGCGACCCACCATTGGTGTCGGGGGGGGGAGGAACAGCGACCCACCATTGGTGTCGGGGGGGGAGGAACAGCGACCCACCATTGGTGTCGGGGGGGGAGGAACAGCGACCCACCATTGGTGTCGGGGGGGGAGGAACAGCGACCCACCATTGGTGTCGGGGGGGGGGGAGGAACAGCGACCCACCATTGGTGTCGGGGGGGGGGGAGGAACAGCGACCCACCATTGGTGTCGGGGGGGGAGGAACAGCGACCCACCATTGGTGTCGGGGGGGGAGGGAACAGCGACCCACCATTGGTGTCGGGGGGGGGGGAGGAACAGCGACCCACCATTGGTGTCGGGGGGGGAGGAACAGCGACCCACCATTGGTGTCGGGGGGGGAGGAACAGCGACCCACCATTGGTGTCGGGGGGGGGGGAGGAACAGCGACCCACCATTGGTGTCGGGGGGGGGAGGAACAGCGACCCACCATTGGTGTCGGGGGGGGGGAACAGCGACCCACCATTGGTGTCGGGGGGGGAGGAACAGCGACCCACCATTGGTGTCGGGGGGGGAGGAACAGCGACCCACCATTGGTGTCGGGGGGGGAGGAACAGCGACCCACCATTGGTGTCGGGGGGGGAGGAACAGCGACCCACATTGGTGTCGGGGGGGGAGGAACAGCGACCCACCATTGGTGTCGGGGGGGGAGGAACAGCGACCCACCCATTGGTGTCGGGGGGGGAGGAACAGCGACCCACCATTGGTGTCGGGGGGGGGGAGGAACAGCGACCCACCATTGGTGTCGGGGGGGGAGGAAACAGCGACCCACCATTGGTGTCGGGGGGGGAGGAACAGCGACCCACCATTGGTGTCGGGGGGGGGGGAACAGCGACCCACCATTGGTGTCGGGGGGGGAGGAACAGCGACCCACCATTGGTGTCGGGGGGGGAGGAACAGCGACCCACCATTGGTGTCGGGGGGGGGGGGGAGGAACAGCGACCCACCATTGGTGTCGGGGGGGGAAGGAACAGCGACCCACCATTGGTGTCGGGGGGGGGGGAAACACAGCGACCCACCATTGGTGTCGGGGGGGGAGGAAACAGCGACCCCCCATTGGTGTCGGGGGGGGGGGAGGAACAGCGACCCACCATTGGTGTCGGGGGGGGAGGGAACAGCGACCCACCATTGGTGTCGGGGGGGGAGGAACAGCGACCCACCATTGGTGTCGGGGGGGGAGGAACAGCGACCCACCATTGGTGTCGGGGGGGGGGGGGAGGAACAGCGACCCACCATTGGTCGGTCGGGGGGGGGGAGGAACAGCGACCCACCATTGGTGTCGGGGGGGGGAGGAACAGCGACCCACCATTGGTGTCGGGGGGGGAGGAACAGCGACCCACCATTGGTGTCGGGGGGGGGGAGGAACAGCGACCCACCATTGGTGTCGGGGGGGGGAGGGAACAGCGACCCCACCATTGGTGTCGGGGGGGGAGGAACAGCGACCCACCATTGGTGTCGGGGGGGGAGGAACAGCGACCCACCATTGGTGTCGGGGGGGGAGGAACAGCGACCCACCATTGGTGTCGGGGGGGGGAGGAACAGCGACCCACCATTGGTGTCGGGGGGGGGGGAAGGAACAGCGACCCACCATTGGTGTCGGGGGGGGAGGAAACAGCGACCCACCATTGGTGTCGGGGGGGGAGGAACAGCGACCCACCATTGGTGTCGGGGGGGGAGGAACAGCGACCCACCATTGGTGTCGGGGGGGGGAGGAGGAACAGCGACCCACCATTGGTGTCGGGGGGGGAGGAACAGCGACCCACCATTGGTGTCGGGGGGGGAGGAACAGCGACCCACCATTGGTGTCGGGGGGGGAGGAAACAGCGACCCACCATTGGTGTCGGGGGGGGGTCAGGAACAGCGACCCACCATTGGTGTCGGGGGGGGGGGAGGAACAGCGACCCACCATTGGTGTCGGGGGGGGAGGAAACAGCGACCCACCATTGGTGTCGGGGGGGGGGGAGGAACAGCGACCCACCATTGGTGTCGGGGGGGGGAGGAACAGCGACCCACCATTGGTGTCGGGGGGGGGAAGGAGGAACAGCGACCCACCATTGGTGTCGGGGGGGGAGGAACAGCGACCCACCATTGGTGTCGGGGGGGGGGAGGAACAGCGACCCACCATTGGTGTCGGGGGGGGGGGGAACAGCGACCCACCATTGGTGTCGGGGGGGGGAGGAACAGCGACCCACCATTGGTGTCGGGGGGGGGAGGAACAGCGACCCACCATTGGTGTCGGGGGGGGAGGAACAGCGACCCACCATTGGTGTCGGGGGGGGAGGAACAGCGACCCACCATTGGTGTCGGGGGGGGGGGAACAGCGACCCACCATTGGTGTCGGGGGGGGAGGAACAGCGACCCACCATTGGTGTCGGGGGGGGAGGAACAGCGACCCACCATTGGTGTCGGGGGGGGAGGAACAGCGACCCACCATTGGTGTCGGGGGGGGAGGAACAGCGACCCACCATTGGTGTCGGGGGGGGGGGGGGGAGAACAGCGACCCACCATTGGTGTCGGGGGGGGGAGGAACAGCGACCCACCATTGGTGTCGGGGGGGGGAGGAACAGCGACCCACCATTGGTGTCGGGGGGGGGGAGGAACAGCGACCCACCATTGGTGTCGGGGGGGGGGGAGGAACAGCGACCCACCATTGGTGTCGGGGGGGGGGGCGACCCACCATTGGTGTCGGGGGGGGAGGAACAGCGACCCACCATTGGTGTCGGGGGGGGAGAGGAACAGCGACCCACCATTGGTGTCGGGGGGGGAGGAACAGCGACCCACCATTGGTGGGGGGGGGGGAGGAACAGCGACCCACCATTGGTGTCGGGGGGGGGGAGGACAACAGCGACCCACCATTGGTGTCGGGGGGGGGGAGGAACAGCGACCCACCATTGGTGTCGGGGGGGAGGCACAGCGACCCACCATTGGTGTCGGGGGGGAGGCACAGCGACCCACCATTGGTGTCGGGGGGGAGGAACAGCGACCATCATTGGTGTCGGGGGGGAGGAACAGCGACCCATCATTGGTGTCGGGGGGGAGGAACAGCGACCCATCATTGGTGTCGGGGGGAGGAACAGCGCCCCATCATTGGTGTCAGGGGGAGGAACAGCGCCCCATCAAAGGTGTCAGGGGGAGGAACAGCGCCCCATCAAAGGTGTCAGGGGGAGGAACAGCGCCCATCAAAGGTGTCAGGGGGAGGAATAGCGCCCCATCAAAGGTGTCAGGGGGAGGAACAGCGCCCCATCAAAGGTGTCAGGGGGAGGAATAGCGCCCCATCAAAGGTGTCAGGGGGAGGAATAGCGCCCCATCAAAGGTGTCAGGGGGAGGAATAGCGCCCCATCAAAGGTGTCAGGGGGAGGAATAATGGTCCACCACCATTGGTGTCAGTGGGGAGGAATAATGGTCCACCATTGGTGTCAGTGGGGAGGAATAATGGTCCACCATTGGTGTCAGTGGGGAGGAATAATGGTCCACCATTGGTGTCAGTGGGGAGGAATAATGGTCCACCATTGGTGTCAGTGGGGGAGGAATAATGGTCCACCATTGGTGTCAGTGGGGAGGAATAATGGTCCACCATTGGTGTCAGTGGGGAGGAATAATGGTCCACCATTGGTGTCAGTGGGGAGGAATAATGGTCCACCATTGGTGTCAGTGGGGAGGAATAATGGTCCACCATTGTGGGGAGGAATAATGGTCCACCATTGGTGTCAGTGGGGAGGAATAATGGTCCACCATTGGTGTCAGTGGGGAGGAATAATGGTCCACCATTGGTGTCAGTGGGGAGGAATAATGGTCCACCATTGGTGTCAGTGGGGAGGAATAATGGTCCACCATTGGTGTCAGTGGGGAGAATCGTGCTTTCCATCAGAGGGAAGAAAGCCCAACGGGCCGGATAAAGATAAGCAAAGCGCCGCATCTGGCCCCCGGGCCGCAGTTTGGAGACCACTGCTATAGATCATCAATGCCATGTGCACCCCAGCTCTAATCCGGGTGTCCCCCACATAGCACAGTGCAGGCCGGTGACACAGCACCATCAAACTGAAACCGAAAACAAACAAAAGCACCCGCATCCCAGCTCCACGCATTTACATTCCCCTCCAAAGCCGGGAGATATAGAAGCCGGTGACCCCGCTGCACTCACCATGGTGACAACAGATCTGGACTTCACTAGACACCCGCAATACCGTTCAACGCCCGGCTCCTCACCGACTGCCGATACTAACTGCGCATGAGCACCCAGGGTCGCTTAGTGATTACATCACCCCGTAGTTATACACACGCTTATACGGAAAAGCGTAGCTAAAAATGGTCCCCGGCTAGGTGAGCGGCCATTTTATTGGTTGGATATTTTGCTTGGTCATGTTCGTCCTGGTTTTTGTTACATGCTTGTTACTGCTGGATACGTTATAATGTAAAATTATGAATGAGATGAGAAGGTTTCTACATAAACCTGCACTGAGGCCTAACATTGGGGCCCCACACACACACTAGTGTATAAGAGGGACTGCAAGAGGCGGGGTGGAACGGGCCAGAGGTGGAGAATTCTTCAGACAATGATGTATAAGGCCTCATGCGCACATGACGTTTTAAAAACGTTCCTCCTCTTGGCAGAGTGTTCTGGCAGAAAAAACACGACGCTTGTCAAAGTTTCTAAGGCTTTTACACTAAGGCATTAATTTCATTGGCCACAATAATAATTTATTCTGTCTATTGAAATGAATTAATGCTCAAGCGCTAAACACACCTAGCGTTAAGATGCGTTTACGTGCGTCAATTGTTTTTTCTGCCAAAACACTGCTCCTGGACGCACTGGCGCTGGGTTTTTGTTCTTCTGGTAAATGCTACTGCTTTTAAAAGTCTATGTGTATATGGACACATAGGATAACATGGAGGGCTGTTCGGAAGAAGCAGAAAAAAAAAAAAAACACTGACGCTGTGTGCATGAGGCCTAAGGGTCAGGATACTAAAAGATATTAGGCCTGGTTCACACCAATGTATGTTTTAACCACTTGCCTTGCAATGGATTTACCCCCTTCCTGACCAGGCCTTTTTTTGCGATATGGTGCTGCGTTATTTTAACTGATAATTGCGCAGTCATGCAACGCTGTACATAAATGAAATTTATGTAATTTTTTCCCCACAAATAGTTACGTAATTACATAAAAAGTCCACCCAGTTCAACCATAAAAAAAAAAGAAAAGCTATAATCCTAAACCCACAGTTGATCCAGAAGAAGAAGGCAAAAAAACCCAGCAAAGCACAATTCAGTTTGCACCTGTTGGGAAAAAAACTCCTTCCCGATCCCTCGAGAGGCAATCAGATATTCCCTGGAACAACTTTACCTATAAATGTTATATCCAGTATATTCTGTGTATCTAAGAAATAATCCAGGCCTTTTTTAAAGCAATCCACTGAACTGGCCAGAACCAACTCTTGAGGGAGTCTATTCCACATTTTCACGGCTCTCACTGTGAAGAAACCTTTCCGTGTTAGGAGATTAAATTTCTTTTCCTCCAGAAATAGAGCTTTCTTTCGGTGGTATTCAATCACCTCTTCGTTTTTTATTCTTTGCGCTATAAACAAAAAAAGACCTTTGCTATAAAACATATCCAATAAATAAATCTGAAAAAAAATTAATTTTTTGGCATAAAATGTAGGCCAAAATGTATTCTGCTACATGTCTTTGCTAAAAAAAAAATCCCAATATGTATAAATTAATTTTACATGAAACGTTATAGCATCTACAATTGGCAGTATGTATACTGGAATTTTTATTATTATTTTTTTTATATATACTAGTAAACTAGTAAGATCAGCGACTTATAGAGGGACTGTGGCAGGCATTCTGACACTGGGTGGAAACTAACTAACTGCCACTAACATCCCAGTGACACTAATACAGTGATCAGTGCTAATAAAAATGCAGGAAGGGGTAACATCTGGGACTATGAAAAGGGTTAACGGTGTGCTGTGTGTGTTACTGTGTGCTGTGTGTTACTAGGGAGGCATGCTTTGCAGAGAGATACAAAACAGCATGTCCATGCTGACAGGAGAGAGACCTGTGTTGTTTACACACAGGTCTCTCCCTGTCGGCTTTCCCCAACAATCACAGAGTGCAAGGACCCAGTGATTGGACATCTGTAGCTGCCAATAGCAGCACGGGTAGAAGCTGCGTGCCCGCCCCCATACCCCAGATAATGCAAAATCACAACACATATATATATATGGAAAAAAAAACCGAAAAACAACCCAAAAAAATCTTAGGCCCACCTTAACTCCCTAAGAAAAAAGCTTAAATGCCCCCATACCCCCGGGGGGGGTTTCGTTTGGTTTTTTTTTTTTTTTTTTTTCCCAAACGGTTGGGGGGTTTGGCTTGCTTGCACGAACCACAAAATATGGCGGGCCAATTTTAAAAAACGTCCAACCCCCTTCGAGCATTTTGGTACCGGCCCCCCCGAGTTGGTCCAAAGTTTTCCCCTGTTTTGGGCAAAAATGGGTCTCCCAAAAACCCCAAAATGTGGGACCAAAAAAAAAAAACAAAAAAACGCTGTTTTTTTTTGGAAAAGGGGGAGGAAATTTAGCCCCCCGGCAGATTCCCCTTTTGCTGCCGGGCCCCCCAAGGAGATTCACCCAGTTGCCCCTGTTTCCCCATTATCCCAAAATGAAAAAAAGAAAAAAAAATTTTTGGGCGCCCGGAAAAAAAAGGGGAATTTCCTGGGAGCAAAATTTTTTATAACCCCGATTCCCTCAGTTTTAAGGCCGTCTTTTTCCTTTTTAGGCTAGGGGAGGAATTTGAAGGGGGGGTTTTTCTCCCCGGGGAAAAAAATTTAAAAAAAAAATGGGGGGGTATAATTCCATTTTCTCCGAGGGAAAAAAAATTTTTGGCCCTAGAAACTACTTTGAGCGGGGGTGAACTATAGCCAAAACTATTTTTTCATTTTGGAAGCATTGGGGGTTCCCCGAGTTTTTTTTTTGCTATCTTTTTCCCCCAAGGGGATTTCCCCATTTCCGCCCTCCCAAAACTGGGGCCCCCTTAAATTAAGGGAATTTTTGGGGACCCCCAGGTCTCGCCCCCAGGCCAGCCCGGTTTTCCCCCCCCATACCGGGACAACCCAAAATGGGTAATTTTACCCCACGAATTAATGAAACGGCAAATAGAGAGGGGAATTCCCCCCCAATTTGGCCAAACGCTTTTAAGAACCTTTACGTGTTCTAATTAATGTCCAAAAACTAAAAAAAACTTTGTTTTTAAATAGAAGTTTTTTCCCCTATTTTGGCCGTCTGGTTCCCCCCCCCAAACCAAAAAAAAAAAATTTTTTGAAAAATTCCTTTTCAAAAAAACATTATTCAGATCTGTGCTTTCCATGCCCAAATGGGGGTCAAGATGGGGGGAGGGGCCGCAGAGTGCAGTCAAACCCTAAAACACACAAACCCGCCTCATATTCTCGACCCTCACATCTGCAGAGTGATTTGGCTCAGGAGGGTTGCAAATTTAAAGGGGAAGTCTCTAAAAGGAATAGGTTTCCTGGTTTTGAGGGCGACCAGGCACCATTTTAACATTTTCCAAAAACCTTTTTCCCCCTTCCTGCCAGCCTTTTTTGTTTTTCAGCGTTTCACACTTTGAATGACTTGGGGTCCCCAACCGTCCCCTAAAATTTTTTAGTTTTTTTGGCCCCTAAAGTAAATTTGGGGGCTTTACCCATTGGATTTTTATTTTTTTGCTATAAAATGAAAAGTAAAAAAGGGAAAAAAGTTTTTCCCTTAGCAAATTTTTGCAAATAAAAATCTTTTTTCATAAACGGGGCAAAGATTCTAATCTTTTTTAAAGAACCATTACATTGACTTTTTTAATAATATAATATTTGATTGGCTACAATCAGTGATCACATGATTTGGGACCCTCGCACAGAGTGGTACCGTACAATGTTGCGGTGTTCGTCGTGCTGCTGCGCGCTTCCCAAGGAGCCACGCAACAAGCAGGGGGTGGGGAGGCCCATTTATAGAACGGACCACACCGCACCTGCCACCTGCCACCGTTCCGGCAATTTATTAGTACAACAGCCGGGACGGGAATTGTTAAGGAATAGGAGAAGGATTAGTTCCACTTTAATTATTTCTGGGTTAAATATGGGTTAAAAATATGCCTAACAATTCTTTCCTCCAAAAAAACCCATCACATCTAAAAGAATCATTCAGTTCAACAAGAAATTCTAATTGCTTTTTAAATGGCTTTTGTAAGGAATCTGCAGCTGAGATTGGCCAGATCTGCACTGGCTGCAACTCAGGAAACTTCAGGAAACCAGACTGTATATGATTTAAGTGAAATTTGTTCTATAGTGAAAATCCAGTTAGGGGATACCTAAATTCCTAGGAGGGGAATACTATGCTAAAGACTTGTTGTGATTCAGCTGGAAGCCACAGTCAAGATTTCAGTAATTTTTTGCAGAGTTGCTAAACAAAAGGAAACTGCCCCCATTCTTCTTATTCTTCTAGCAGATCGGGCATCCCATAACTCCTTTACCTTATCCAAGTTAAATACCCCTAATAAGGTCATAAAAACCAAGACCATTGGACTGTTTCTTGTGGTCTGAAAAAATGCGTGTTGCCATGGCGGGTGTGCAGGAAAATAAGGCTGAACCCAAAGGCAGCCTGTATCATGGGGGTAGCACTTAAGACACATATACCAGTAAGTGCCAAAAAAACAGAAAAAACTGTTGACAGAATACCTGACTAAATAATTAACAAACAGAAGCCTACACGAACTATTAAGTATTTACAATATATACAAAATGGGAAACACAAAAAGCAGAGGAAAACTGGAGGTGCAGGGGGCAGATAGGAAGAGGGAACATAAACTGGAATCAGGAATAAGGGAGAGCAGTTACAATGGCAGCAGGATACAGGGTACAGCATACAGGGCAGGAGCAGGATAGCAGCTAGCAGAAATAAAGCAGTAAGCAAAACACTGGAGGCAAAAGGCACTAAAAGAGGAGACCTAAATACCCACCCAACAGCCAGCATCAGGTGGAAACTTTACTGAGGATCTATCAATAAACTAGATCTCTGCACATTCCCAACTGAAACAATAACTACTAAACCCATAAAGAAAAGTAAAAACTTTCACCCTTGAAAGTAAACGTAATAGTAACTAAACTCTTCTTTGTGAAAAAATAAATCTATCCCAATCTTAACATCAACTAATACATAAATAACTAAATAAATGAATAAATAAATAAATGTCCC